TTCAGAGAGAAAGTGCAATCTGCAAATGGAGGACGTGATTTTTTGACTTTTCACTGTATTTTGCACCAGGAGGCTTTGTGTTGCAAGTCATTAAAGATGGATAACGTCATGAAGGTGGTCATCCAAACTGTTAATTTCATCCGATCCAGAAGCCTGAATCACCGTCAGTTTGACAGCCTTCTCAGAGAGAAAGACCACATCTATGGCCTGCCATACCACACTGAGGTAAGATGGTTAAGCCGAGGTGCTGTGCTGAGGCGTTTCTTTGATTTACGAGAAGAAATTGAACAGTTCATGGAAGAAAAGGCCAAACCAGTGTTAGAATTTCATTCCGCAGAATGGATGCAGGACCTTGCATTTATGGTGGATGTTACAGAGCACCTGAATAGCTTGAACAAACAGCTGCAAGGGCGCAACAAAGTTGTCACACAGTATTATGACAGCATACGTTCTTTCAAGTTGAAGCTGTCATTGTGGGAGACGCAACTCGCCGGTGGTGATGCAGCTCACTTCCCCTGTCTGAAAAATGTGTGCGCGACCCAACATGTGGCAGACATGAAGCGGTTCAAAGATAAAATAACGGGACTGTTACGGGAGTTTGAGCAACGCTTTCAGATATTTGGTGAACTGGAGAAAGACTTCAACACTCGCCATTCACCGTGAATCCCTCTGATCTGCCCGTCAGCATCCAACTTGAAATAATAGACTTGCAGTGTGACTCGGATTTGAAGGGCAAATTTGCCGCAGCTGGCTTGGACACATTTTATCAGAATCTCTTGCCAGGTTACCCCAACTTGACAGCCCTCGCTGCAAAACTGTTGTGCATGTTTGGAACCACATATCTTTGTGAGCAAGCTTTCTCCGTAATGAGCATAAATAAAACAAAGCTGCGCTCAAGGCTCATGCACAAGCACTTGAATCACATCCTGAAGTTGGCTGCCACTCAGGATGTGACGCCTGATATTGATGCGCTGGTGAAAGCTAAAAGATGCCAGGTATCAGGAGTCAAATAAACTATGCAACCCCACTTAAAGTGCTGCATGAGACACCCTGATCTAGTTCTGTGATCTGTGATATACTTCTGTGAATCACTGAGGCATTGTGTGTTTGTGTGTTCTTTGTCCTCAGAACTTTCAAATAACTTGAGGTGTTTTATGATTAATAGTGATGTTGTGCTTTTGGACACACTGTCCTCAGGCTCCAGCTTTATGTTTATATGTTTTTATGTTGATGTGCTATTGTTTTTAATTGATTTTATTTTATTTGTATATTTAACCTATTCTTGACTCTGTGGTTCTTGCACTTGTTTGGGGAACAGGATTTCATTATTTTTATCTACATTTCTGCCTGAGAAATGACACCCTGATATAGTTCTGTGATCTGTGAAACAGTTCTGTTAATCACTGAGGCATTGTGTGTTTGTGTGTTCTTTTTCTTTAGAATTTTCAAATAAACTTGACGTGTTTTATGATTAATAGTGATGTTGTGCTTGTACTATTTTGGACACACTGTCCTCAGGCTCCAGCTTTATGTTTTATGTTGATCATATTAAAACAAAGAAAACAATCTGAAGTTCTTGTTTTTAAGTTATATATACCATGATTTTTCCGGTCCGGCCCACTTGGGAATAGATTTTCCTCCATGTAGCCCCTGAGCTAAAATGAGTTTGACACCCCTGACTCCAGACCTTAATCCCATAGAAAATCTGTGGAGGGAGCTGAAGGTTCAAGTTGCCAAACGTCAGGCTCAAAACCTTAATGACTTGGAGAAGATCTGCAAAGAGGAGTGGGACAAAATCCCTCCTGAGATGTGTGCAAACCTGGTGGCCAACTACAAGAAACGTCTGACCTCTGTGATTGCCAACAAGGGTTTTGCCACCAAGTACTAAGTCATGTTTTGCAGAGGGGTCAAATACTTATTTCCCTCATTTAAATGCAAATCAATTTATAACATTTTTGACATGCGTTTTTCTGGATTTTTTTGTTGTTATTCTGTCTCTCACTGTTCAAATAAACCTACCATTAAAATGATAGACTGATCATGTCTTTGTCAGTGGGCAAACGTACAAAATCAGCAGGGGATCAAATACTTCTTTCCCTGACTGTACCTGGGGATCCTGGAACTGTGCCAGACAGCTTCAATCACGGGTTTGTGTGTGTGTGTGTGAGGTGCTAAAATCCAGGATTGCTCTCCCATCTGCTAACCTCCATTTTAATCTCTTTTCAACACCAGCTGAAGATCCTGTATCTTCCAAGGGGGTCCTTCCCATCTCCCCTGAGGAGGAATGGAGACACTGAATTCAGTTTCTCTCTTGTTTGTCAGGGGTTATTACTTGTCTGGGTTCAGCAGATCTGGGTGAAAATACTGCTGATACGAAAGTTCTGTGAACAGAGTAATAATTAACGTCCAAAAACCCCCTCTCTCTGCAGGCCTTTACCCTGGGGAACTTACAGGAGGCCCAGAGTGTTCACTCGCTCACTCTCTTTCTCTCGGTCTCTCTCTGTTCTCTCTCTCTCTCACTCAGAAGAACTTCAGTAGGCCATCTTACTCTTCTCAGTCTTATCAGGTCAACAGTGGTGTTTGGGAGAAATACATAATAGGTATCCAAGAGTCATAATGTGGAGAAAACATCACCTTGAATTACAGGACAGGCTGTAATGGAGAATATTAGAATATTCCACTCTCACCACTAGGTGTCACATTTCCCCTGCTTTTAGAAGCAAATAACCTGAGTTATTAGTTCAATAGAAAAACCCTCCCAATGCAGTTTCTAATCAACACTCAGAGGGTCTATATTAAATGATGCCCTATTGAACAACCACCTCAGCTCAACCATGACATAAACTAACATGGTACAACATATCAGCCACTATCCTGAATACCTCAGTTTATGATGTGATATTCATGTTCTCAATTGTTGTTATTGATTAATGGTGTGAGGCCCAATGATGTGACAAGTTAATCAGTAAGACATGTGGTGTCCCTTTTTAAACGTTAAACTCAGTCAGCTGGTATATAATAAGACTGGTATTTCATTTTCCTCATGAACAGTATCTTCTTTGGGAGTAACTTTAGGTGATACACTTCATCAAAGGAACATTAAGCTAAGAGACAAACCAAGGTGAGATCTACTTCATAAGATCTATGTATTGATGTGAGATCTACTTTATAAGATCTATGTAGAGATGTAAGATCTACTTTAAAAGATATATGTAGTGATGTAAGATCTACTTTATAAGAAATATGTAGTGATGTAAGATCTACTTATAAGATCTATGTAGTGATGTAAAATCTACTTTATAAGATCTATGTAGCGATGTAAGATTTAATTTATAAGCTCTATTTAGTGATGTATGATTTACTTTATTAGATCAATGTAGTGATGTAAGATCTACTTTATAAGAACTATGTCGTAATGTAAGATCTACTTTATAAAATCTATGTAGTGATGTGATAGTATCATTTTACGATAAGCCCAAAGGTAAGTCTACAAACTGAGGATAATGATCATCACATTACTTTACCTTGGATGCAACCCGTGTTTTGAAGCTATGCAACATTTATACATTACATGAGTTGCATAGATGATTCAATTATGAATAACTAAAATGTGAATGTATAACTCCATTCCAATGAAAACAAATTGCCTTGTCTTTGGAGAGCTCCCATTAATCATGATGCTTGCTTAATCATATATTATTAATAATTGATTCAAGGGATTTGCTGTGCTTCAAGAAATCCTCACAAGACCTCTCATCTTGGCAAGGTACACCTTGTAGATAGCATTAGAAGGCACCCGCACACACTCGCACGCACGTTCACACTCACACTCACAGTATCTGGTCCCATATTCCTAGCACGCAATTACTACATCAAGCTTGTGACTCTACAAACTTGTTGGATGCATTTGCAGTTCGTTTTGGTTGTGTTTCAGAAGATTCTTTGCCCAATAGAAATGAATGATAAATAATGTATTGTGTCATTTGGAGTAACTTTTATTGTAATAAGACACTTCTACATTAATGTGCATGCCAAGACATGCCAATCTCTCACCATTACCAATAACAGAGGAGGTTAGCATATCTTGGAAGTATGATCTTCGACCCTCTGTAACTTGCTCACTCATCATTATTTATGATGAATTCAAACCGCACAATATTTATTATCTTGGAGAGGTACATCATGTAGGTAGAATTAGAATCCACACACGGACACACACCCGCAGACGTGCGCACACGTTCACACACGTACACACTCACACTCACATAAAGGAATTCAGAGTTGCACTCAGTTCTTTCTGTAGATTTCTATATTAGCCTACTGTAACTCTGTTGGTGCCTGGACGCCTCACACACTCAGAAAACAGCTCAACCAGCAAGATGACACAGAACATCTGAGTGCTACCGTCACTCTAAAATAATTACACAACTCACAGTCACTGAAAAGGTTCTAGGCTTTTAAGAACACATTAGCGGCAACAACTCCGCAGGTGTCCCCAATCCGAAAACCTCTAAGCGATAGCTCAGACATGAAAAAGGCTTTCACCTACAGAGAGAATGAGACAACTTTGAAGGAAGAGAATATAATTTCCGTAGAAAGTGTTGGCTGGCTGTCTGACTACCATAGGTACCAGATATTTAGAGGGGAAACTGAGGAAAGAGATGTTTCTGAGGACTGATGTTTCTGTGGACAGAGACGTTTCTGAGGACAGAGATGTTTCTTTGGACAGAGATGTTTCTGAAGACATTGATGTTTCTGAGGACAGAGATGTTTCTGAGGACATAGATGTTTCTGAGGACGGAGGTGTTCTCTTAATCTGACAAGGCCTTTACTAGTAGTGATGATGTCTACAAGACAAGTTTATCTGAGTACTGCCAGAGAGCAGAGGACTGTTGACCCCTTACTTCAAGGACTGCTGTCAATTAATACAATGTAGCCTGCCTTTGTTCACATTTAATTGGCTGCTATCGTGTCTGTCTCTTTAGCTAGCTGGTGAAAGGATGCACACAGTGAAAGCAGACAGGGTTACGTAAGGTAAGGGCAGTGTTTGTCCCTGTTCCACTGCAGTCTAATGTCTCAACCTTGGAATTAAAGCTGGCGTTGACTTTTTTCATCTTATAGCTAGTGACTAACATTGGCATATTCACATCGCAATAAACGAAGGACTCATATTGCGTTATAGAGGGTTGGCCTTTTTGGGTTTTTATTAAACTGCTCCATCTTGACTTGTAATTGAATGAATGGCATAGAGTGCTCATGTCAGTTGTTTCGGCCCTGCTGCAATTGCCTACAAAGAGGATCACAATGGCTATAGACAGTTTTTGGTATATGTATTTGTTGCTGGGTGTAGCATTTTTAGGTATTTTAAATCGTCAAATAAAAATAAAATAAAAACAATCTCTCTACAGCCCTATACAGTGAAGTCATCATGTCCTCTCGTCCAATCACAATACTTTCATCCAGCGTGGGACATATGATCAACTACAACGGTAAATTCCAACAGTGATTTTTTATCATATCAAAAAGTGTGCCCAGTGAATTCAAGGCACTTTGTCAATAAATACAACTCTGACTTTGGCTTCAACCTCGAATTCAGAATTAATTGTTTGAATTCAGTGAAATATAAACTGTGGTTTCAGGGGGACGGACCCATGGCACTCCCCCTTCCCTGCGACCCAAACACCTCCGGGAGGAGGACAGGGAGTCAGGCCTTGGGTCTACTCTGGACCTCATCAGCAGCTGGGAGGGGTACAGCCAGGAGGACGACCCAACCTCACCCACCTCCTCCCCCAAACCAAGGGAAGGGAACAGCCCCCCCAAAGAGCAAGGTACAGCACTCTGAAGTTTCAGAGACATTTTCACCCTGCAAGCTATAATACTATATTTACATCAACACTCCTACAAGAGGAGATACTGTGTAGTGAATGTGGAGGAGAGTCACTGTGATAACCTCTTAGTCAGTAATTTGTTATTGTATTTTATTTTATTAGGATCCCAATTAGCCCACACCAATGCCAACAGCTACAGTGCCTTGAAAAAATATTCATCCCCATTGGCGTTTTTCCTATATTGTTGCATTAAAACCTGTAATTTAAATGGATTTTATATTTGGAGTTCATGTACATTTTACATTTTAGTCATTTAGCAGACGCTCTTATCCAGAGCGACTTACAGTTAGTGAGTGCATACATATTTATTTATTTTTCATACTGGCCCCCCGTGGGAATCAAACCCACAACCCTGGCGTTGCAAACGCCATGCTCTACCAACTGAGCTACATCCCTGCCGGCCATTCCCTCCCCTATCCTGGACAACGCTGGGCCAATTGTGCGCCGCCCCATGGGTCTCCCGGTCGCGGCCGGCTACGACAGAGCCTGGATGTAATGGACATACACAAAATAGTCCAAATTGGTGAAATGAAATGAAAAAAATTACTTGTTTCAAAAAATTCTACAAAATAAATAACGGAAAAGTGGTGCGTGCATATGTATTCACCCCCTTTGCTATGAAGCCCCTAAATAAGATCTGGTGCAACCAATTACCTTCAGAAGTCACATAATTAGTTAACTAAAGTCCACCTGTGTGCAATCTAAGTGTCACATGATCTGTCACATGATCTCAGTATATATACACCTGTTCTGAAAGGCCCCAGAGTCTGCAACACCACTAAGCAAGGGCCACCATCAAGCAAGCAGCACCATGAGGACCAAGGAGCATCTCCAAACAGGTCAGGGACAAAGTTGTGGAGAAGTACAGATCAGGGTTGGGTTATACAAAAATATCCGAAACTTTGAACATCTCACGGAGCACCATTAAATCCATTATTAAAAAATTGAAAGAATATGGCACCAAAACAAACCTGTCAAGAGACGGCCGCCCACCAAAACTCACGGACCAGGCAAGGAGGGCATTAATCAGAGAGGCAACAATGAGACCAAAGATAACGCTGAAGGAGCTGCAAAGCTCCACAGCGGAGATTGGAGTATCTGTCCATAGGACCACTTTAAGCCGTACACTCCACAGAGCTGGGCTTTACGGAAGAGTGACCAGAAAAAATGCCATTGCTTGAAAAATTAAATAAGCAAACACGTTTGGTGTTCACCAAAAGGCATATGGGAGACTCCCCAAACATATGGAAGGAGGTACTCTGGTCAGATGAGACTAAAATTGAGTTTTTTTGCCAAAAAATATTTGGCAACTTCAAAGTGGTAGGCATGTTTTGTAAATCAAATGATACAAAACTGTTGTGCTGATTAAAGAAGCAATAAAACGGCCCTTCTTGAGACTAGTTGAGTATCTGGAGCATCAGCAATTGTGGGTTCGATTACAGGCTCAAAATGGCCAGAAACAAATAACTTTCTTCTGAATCTCGTCAGTCTATTCTTGTTCTGAGAAATGTAGGCTATTCCATGCGAGAAATTGCCAAGAAACTGAAGATATCGTACAACGCTGTGTACTACTCCCTTCACAGAACAGCTGGCAGCTTCATTAAATAGTACCCGCAAAACACCAGACTCAACGTCAACAGTGAAGAGGTGACTCCGGGATGCTGACCTTCTAGGCAGAGTTGCAAAGAAAAAGCCATATCTCAGACTGGGCAATAATAAGAAAGAAAAGATTAAGATGGCAGTCTGAGACATGGCATCCCGGAGTCGCCTCTTCACTGTTGACGTTGAGACTGGTGTTTTGCGGGTACTATTTAATGAAGCTGCCAGTTGAGGATCTCTGAGGCGCCTGTTTCTCAAACTAGACACTCTAATGTATTTGTCCTCTTGCTCAGTTGTGCACCGGGGCCTCCCACTCCTCTTTCTATTCTGGTTAGAGCCAGTTTGCGCTGTTCTGTGAAGGGAGTAGTACACAGCGTTGTATGAGATCTTCAGTTTCTTGGCAATTTCTCGCATGGAGTAGCCTTCATTTCTCAGAACAAGAATAGACTGACGAGTTTCAGAAGAAAGTTATTTGTTTCTGGACATTTTGAGCCTGTAATCGAACCCACAATTGCTGATGCTCCAGATACTCAACTAGTCTCAAGAAGGCCAGTTTTATTGCTTCTTTAATCAGCACAACAGTTTTCAGCTGTGCTAACATAATTGCAAAAGGGTTTTCTAATGATCAATTAGCCCTTTTAAATGATAAACTTGGATTAGCAAACACAACGTGCCATTGGAACACAGGACTGATGGTTGCTGATAATGGGCCTCTGTACGCCTATGTAGATATTCCATTAAAATCAGCCGTTTCCAGCTACAATAACCATTTACAACATTAACAATGTCTACACTGTATTTTGGATCAATTTTATGTTATTTTAATGGACAAAAAAAATGCTTTTCTTTGGAAAAGAAGGACATTTCTAAGTGACCCCAAACTTTTGAACGGTAGTGTACATACATTTAAAAACATGAAAGGAGAAGTTTCCTTTTTTACAAGCAAATCTCAATTTTTTATGTAAATAGCATGTTATAGAAGGGTCCAGACATCTTTTTTTGTGATTTCACGTTTTTGAGAAACGTATACCAAACAGCAAATCACTTCCTCGTCCTTTTTGTGTAGTGTGGGGGCTCTGAAAAAACATGAACAAGGCTCCAAAAACACACAAATACGTCCTTTTAGAAATGGCAAAGCTCTCAGTGAAGTGATGCAGTCCTTTAGATGTTGTACTCATGAAACTGTGTCATTCCGAACTTTATCCGCAATGTTACATTCCATTTTGTACGACGATTTTTTTGGTCCGCTTCTTCTTGTTTTTAGCTGATAGGAGTGGAACCCGGTGTGGTCGTCTGCTGCAATTGCCCATCCGTGACAAGGATAGACGAGTTGTGCGTTCCGAGATTCCATTCTGCACACCGCCGTTGTACTGCGCCGTTATTTGTCTGTTTGTGGCTCGCCTGTTAGCTTGCACGATTCTTGCCATTCTCCTTCGACCTCTGAAAAACCCAGGAGCACTCAAAGTCGCTTAGGTCACTCATTTTGCCCATTCTAATGTTCAATCGAACAGTAGCTGAATGCCTCTGCCTGCTTTATATAGCAAGCCACGGCCACCTGACTCACTGTCTGTAGGAGTAATCCATTTTTGTGAACTGGCCACTGAGTGTAAATACTGTATATATATATATATATATATATATATATATATATATAAACTACAACTAAAGTCACAGATGTACACAATTAATAATAAAGAGACAATTAAACTAAAGAATAATAATGTGTGGGTGTGTGTAGAGTGTGTGTTAAGTGTGTGTGTGTGTGTGTGTGTGTGTGTGTGTATCTATCAGTTACACGTAAATGTCAGTACATGCACACAAACATTTGGTCACATGGGGGAGAGACGTTGCTTATTTTGTCATTACGTTGTTGCCTTGTCTGGTCAAAGCGATACTGTTTATAAACCAGGACAAATGTTGGTTTGTTCTTCAGGAAGAAACATTGTAATAATGCATTCCTTCTTTCTTCCTATCTTATTCTTTCTTGTTCTTCGTTCTCCGGTTCTCTGTTGTGTCTCTCTTGTTTTGATCAGCAGCCACCGCAGAACCTGACATGGAGCTCAGTCCCAACAGAGTCAGAGAACTCTTCATCAACTGCTCCAAGATCCCTCTCCTCCTCCTCCTCCTCTTCTTCTTCGTCTGTTCATTAGACACACTAAGTTCAGCGTTCCAGCTGGCTGGGGGTGAGTAGATTACATTCAACTGTCCCTACCAGTTTCATTAGGTAATCAGGGATTTTTTTGTCCTACTATAATTAGTGGATGTGTTGCACTGTCTGTCCTGTCATCCCTGGAAGTGCTTTGTCAGATAAACTGACTCGTGGAACCTGTGGAAACCTGTGGAAACCTGTTGAAACCTGTTGAAACCTGTTGAAACCTGTTGAGTCGATGACAATTACTATTTTATAACTAGACATAATTAAACTGATACTATTGGTACAAACTGATTCATGACATGGTACTCTAAGCTGTGTTTGCTCTAACTCTGAACTAGGTAGAAACCCTGTGTTAAGAGCTGTACATCCTGTATGTGTGTGACTGAAGGTAAGGTAGCGGGGGACATCTTCAAGGATAATGCGGTGCTGTCTAACCCAGTAGCAGGGCTGGTGGTGGGGATACTGGTCACTGTATTGGTCCAGAGCTCCTCCACATCCACCTCCATCATCGTCAGCCTCGTCTCCTCAGGATGTGAGTACTGGGAGAGAGAGATTCTGTGTCTGTGTGTGTGTGTGTTCGTGCAGGCGTGCGTGCGTGTGTGTGCACACATGTTTTTGGGCTTGTGTTTGTCTGTTTGAGGGTGAAAACATGGCTTGTAAATCTGAACTGACTGAATAGGATCAAAGGGACCTTTGACAACAAGATGCTTTTGAATTTGAAACAAAGTGGTGGAGCTCTCTCATCATTGTCAGTGCTTAGTTATGTATAACAGTCTCTGGGGGTGGACTGTCTGCTGCTAATAGGGGTTATCCACAGATATCTCTCATCCACTGTGTGTATGTGACCAGTGGCTACGGTACATCAGTATGCCAGTACTGTCTCTGTCTCAGCAGCCAATCTCAGAGAGGATACCAGGGGAATTATGGGCAATTACTACCGCACAGCTTCCATGGGCCTCCTGTCTGTCTGTGAGCTGTATGTGTGTGTGGGATGGGGGGGGGGGGGGGGGGGGGGGGGGGGGGGGGCGTGAATGCGCAAAGGGTCATCATCTGCATAATAGGTCCCAGCGATAAAAAAAACCTGTTCTTCATTTAAAAACCTGAGATGCCTCCACTCACCTGCAAATTACCTTCAGTTTTTCCTCCATTAAAAGCATTTTGAAATAGGAAGGGTCAGGTTTGATAATATTTAAGCCCATGCATTACCATAATCATGGTACTTTATGCAGTCTTGGAGAAGAAGTCAAAGTCATTATACAAATATGGGAGGTTGTGTAACTGTGTGTGTGTGTGTGTGTGTGTGTGTGTCTCTGTGTGTGTGTGTGTGTTTCCTTCTGACAGTGCTGGAGGTCCGGTCCGCTGTTCCTATCATCATGGGGTCAAATATTGGGACATCGGTCACTAACACCATCGTAGCCATGATGCAGGCGGGGGAGAGGAACGACTTCAAACGGTACAAGAGGAGAGGAGAGGAGAGGAGAGGAGAGGAGAGGAGAGGAGAGGAGAGGAGAGGAGGAGAAGAGAAGAGAGAGGAGAGGAGAGGAGAGGAGAGGAGAGGAGAGGAGAGGAGAGGAGAGGAGAGGAGAGGAGAGGAGAGGAGAGAAGCCCATGTCATCGCAATGACCTTTCTGCTCAGAGTTCAAAGTTAAAAACACTTTATTGTCCATTTAGAGTGAAATGGACACTTTCACTAAACCGACTCAATCACATAACTCAGTCACATAACTCAGTCAAATAATGCATAAGGATAGATAGATAGATAGATAGATAGATAGATAGATAGATAGATAGATAGATAGATAGATAGATAGATAGATAGATAGATAGATAGATAGATAGATAGATAGATAGATAGATAGATAGATAGATAACATATTACAACATTAAAAGGGATTAAAAGGGCATATACAATACCAGTGTGGAGCCGGAGAAGACGGCTGCCGTTTTACAGCCCTCTAACCAATTGTACTATTATGTGTGTTTTTCCGTGTTATTTGTAATTTATTTTGTACATAATGTTTCTGCCATTGTCTCTTATAACCAAAAAGAGCTTCTGGATATCAGGACAGCGATTACTCACCTCTTCAACGAGGCGGCCGCGAAGGATATCCTACAGACACCCGACAAGGCCCAAATCCCCGTCATTCGCATGAGGAAGAGATGGAGATATCGTGGACGTAGGTCGGGGTGCCTTGTAAGGGTCCGACGGCGAGCGAGTAAACTGCCTCTCCCATCAATCCTATTAGCCAATCTTCAATCATTTGAGAATAAATGGGATGACCTAAGATTACAGTTATCCTACCAACGGGACATTAAAAACTGTAATATCTTTTTTCACCGAGTCGTGGCTGAACGACGACATGGACAACATACAGCTAGCGGGCTATACGCTACATCAGCAGGATAGAACGGCTGACTCCGGTAAGACAAGGTGTGGCGGTCTGAGTATATTTGTAAACAACAGCTGGTGCACAAAATCAAATACTAAGGAAGTCTCAAGGTTTTGCTCACCTGAGGTAGAGTATCTTATGATAAGCTGTAGACCACACTATTTACCAAGAGAGTTTTCCTCTATATTTTTCATAGCTGTCTATTTACCACCACAAACCAATGCTGGCATTAAGATTGCACTGAATGAGCTGTATAAGGCCATAAGTCAACAGGAAAACACTCATCCAGAGGCAGCGCTCCTACTGGCCAGGGACTTTAATGCAGGGAAACTTAAATCCGTTCTACCTAATTTCTACCAGCATGTTAAATGTGCAACCAGAGGAAAAAAAACTCTAGACCACCTTTACTCCACACACAGAGACGCATACAAAGCTCTCCCTCGCCCTCAATTTGGCAAATCTGACCATAACTATATCCTCCTGATTCCTGCTTATAAGCAAAAACTAAAGCAGGAAGCACCAGTGACTCGGTTAATAAAAAAGTGGTCAGATGACGCAGATGCTAAGCTACAGGACTGTTTTGCTAGCACAGACTGGAACATGTTCCGGGATTCTTCAGATAGCATTGAGGAGTACACCACATCAGTCACTGGCTTCATCAATAAGTGCATTGATGATGTCGTCCCCACAGTGACCGTACGTACATACCCCAACCAGAAGCCATGGATTACAGGAAACATCCGCACTGAGCTAAAGGGTAGAGCTGCCGCTTTCAAGGAGCGGGACTCTAACCCGGGCCGCTTATAAGAAATCCCGCTATGCCCTCCTACGAACCATCAAACAGGCAAAGAGTCAATAAAGGACTAAGATTGAATCGTACTACACCGGCTCTGACGCTCGTCGGATGTGGCAGGGCTTGAAAACTATTACAGACTACAAAGGGAAGCTTATCACTAAGCTAAGGATCCTGGGACTAAACACCTCCCTCTGCAACTGGATCCTGGACTTCCTGACGGGCCGCCCCCAGGTGGTAAGGGTAGGTAACAACACATCTGCCACACTGATCATCAACACAGGGGCCCCTCAGGGGTGCGTGCTCAGTCCCCTCCTGTACTCCCTGTTCACCCATGACTGCATGGCCAGGCACGACTCCAACACCATCATTAAGTTTGCCAACGACACAACAGTGGTAGGCCTGATCACCGACAACGATGAGACAGCCCATAGGGAGGAGGTCAGAGACCTGGCCGTGTGGTGCCAGGATAGTAACCTCTCCCTCAACGTGACCAAGACAAAGGAGATGATTGTGGACTACAGGAAAAAAAAAGAGGACTGAGCACGCCCCCATTCTCATCGACGGGGCTGTAGTGGAACAGGTTGAGAGCTTCAAGTTCCTTGGTGTCCACATCACCAACAAACTATCATGGTCCAAACACACCAAGATAGTCATGAAGAAGGCACGACAAAGCCTATTCCCCCTCAGGAGACTGAAAAGATTTGGCATGGGTCCTCAGATCCTCAAAAAATTCTACAGCTGCACCATCGAGAGCATCCTGACTGGTTGCATCACCGCCTGGTATGGCAACTGCTTGGCCTCCAACCGCAAGGCACTACAGAGGGTAGTGCGTACGGCCCAGTACATCACTGGGGCCAAGCTTCCTGCCACCCAGGACCTCTATACCAGGCGGTGTCAGAGGAAGGCCCTCAAAATTGTCAGACTCCGGCCACCCTAGTCAAAGACTGTTCTCTCTGCTACCGCACGGCAAGCGGTACCGGAGTGCCAAGTCTAGGTCCAAAATACTTCTCAACAGCTTCTACCCCCAAGCCATAAGACTCCTGAACAGCTAATCATGGCTACCCGGACTATTTGCACTGCCCCCCACCCCATCTTTTTACGCTGCTGCTACTCTGTTAATTATTTATGCATAGTCACTTTAACTCTACCCACATGTACATATTACTTCAACTACCTTAACTAGCCAGTGCCCCCGCACATTGACTCTGCACTGTTACCCCCCTGTATATATAGCCTCCCTACTGTTATTTTATTTTACTTCTGCTCTTTTTTTCTCAACACTTTTTTGTTGTTGTTTTATTTTACTTTTTTTATTAAAAATAAATGCACTGTTGGTTAAGGGCTGTAAGTAAGCATTTCACTGTAATGTCTGCACCTGTTGTATTCGGCGCATGTGGCCAATACAATTTTATTTTATTTTATTTGATTTATTATTAAAAGTAATCAGTACAAGTACCCATAACACCGCTAAGGTACATTATTGGAGGAGATCAAACACACAATTAACCAACCAACAACTGGGCTCTGTCTCTGTGTTCAGGGCTTTTGCTGGGGCTACCATCCACGACTGTTTCAACTGGCTGTCTGTGCTGGTGCTGCTGCCGATGGAGGTGGCTACAGGGCTGATGACCCACCTGGCCCACATCGTGGTCAGCAGTTTCAACATCCAGACTGGAGAGGACGCCCCCGAGCTACTGAAGGTCATCACCGAACCAGTCACTAAACTCATCATACAGGTATGAACCAGTCATTAAACTCATCATACAATATAAAAAAAAACACCTGAATGCATACCTGTCATAAACATGTTGGCTGGGCTCCCCCTGTTGGCTGTGTGCTCCGCTTATGCCATCAAACCCCTGCAACTTATCCAGAATGTTGCTTCCTGCATGGTGTTCAACTTTCCCAAGTTCTCCCATGTCACCCTGCTCCTCCGCACACTCTACTGGCTTCCAGTCGAAGCGAGCATCCACTACAAAAATCTACTTACTATGACTATGATATGTGGTTGTCCCACCTAGCTATCTTAAGATGAATGCACAAATTGTAAATTGCTCTGGATTAGAATGTCTGCTAAATGACTATAATAAAATAAGATCAAGTAAACATCCATTCTCTCTCCTGTCTCCGTCAGTTGGATAGGCGTGTTATCACCGGCATCGCCATGGGAGATGAGAGCATGAGGAACAGGAGCCTGGTGAAGGAGTGGTGCCACACCGGTCTAGTTACGGTAAAGACCCTCAACACCGTCACTGTCTCAACACCGTCACTGTCTCAACACTGTGACTGTCTCAACACCGTCACTGTCTCAACACCGTCACCTCACCACTGTCATCGTTGTCATCATTGTCACCCCCAGACCCTCTGCCTCACCACATCACGGTCTCAACACCGTCATGGCCAGCACCGTCACCATTATCATGACTGTCACCACCGTCACTCTAGAGCCTGTAACCCCCACCAGCTGTTAAGGCTTTGGTGCAATAAGCTCTGTCTCTGATGAGACTTACTCTGTCACTATTACAATGATTTATGAATATACTGTCTGTGAATGATAAGAAAAAAGGCATATTGTTTGCTATGTTCATCTTCTCTCTACCTCGCACTCTCTCTCCTATCTATCTATCTTCATATGCTTCTAAACTCTCTCCCTTTCTCTTTCCCATCTGTCCACTCTTCAGTCCTCTGTGAATGTCAGCATCACTGGTCCTGTCAACTGTAGCTCCGCCCACCTCTGCTGGCAGGAAGGTGACATCACCTGGACCACTCAGAATCTCACCTCCGAGGTTAACATCCAGAAATGTAAGTCCAACATAAACTGACATACAGTACAATGACATATACGACTGTTTTATAAACCATTTTTGACATCACACTTATTTTAATTATTATTTAATCAGAGGTTATTAGATTATTTTTGGATTTGTGTTTAGATTTGGATTTATTTATAATTAATGTTCATTGTTTTAGCAGAATAAGAACTCTATACAGATGTAGGATCTTAATTTGAGCCAGTTTGCTGCAGCAGGACACGATTCCTGCAGCAACAAGACATTTGAATTATTATGTGGAATATAATTAATGAAAACATTTTGTAGGGGTTAATAAATTTGACATTTTAAAGTTGAAATTACAAACTTTGGAAGCATTTTTAAACCTTGAATGCACTACAAGTTTGCATTTCCTGCTGTGCAGGAAAAGTCTCAGCAACAAAAGAGTGATCAAATTAAGATCCTGCATCTGTATAGTGAAAATAATATAAGCCATTTAGCAGACGATTATATCCAAAACGACTCAGTTTTTTACATATGGGTGGTCCTGGGAATCAAAACCACTATTCTGGCATTGCAAGGGCCATGCCCTACCAACTGAGCTACAGAGGACCACATTCTTGTGTTTAATTTTTTCGAGGTTATTAGATTATTTTTAGATTTGGGTTTAGATTTGGATTTATTCATAGTTAATTTTCATTGTTTTAGCAGAATAAGAACTTTATACAGATGTAGGATCTTAACCTGGTTTCCCCCAGGTAGGCATCTGTTTGCTGATGCCCATCTGTCAGACCTGGCGGTAGGGCTGATCCTCCTGGCCGGCTCCCTGGCCCTGCTCTGCACCTGCCTGGTGCTCCTGGTCAAGCTGCTCAACTCCCTCCTCCAAGGTCAAGTGGCAAAGGTCATCCAGAAGGTCATCAACACAGGTAGGCGCCGGCCGGAGATAGATTGCAAGATTTTGACTTACAATATATGAGAATGTCAAGTCTGAGCGTACTAAATATCATCTCCACTAGCAATACATTTTAGACGGACAAGACAGACAGACGGACAGACAGACATGCAGATGGACGGACAGATGGACATGCAGACAGACAGACAGACAGACTGACATGCAAATGTCCAGACGGCCAGACGAACAGACAGACGGACAGACCTAATCAGGGTCGCTACTAGTTACCACAGCAACAAAGTCATAATTATGTCTAAACCCTGCCTATTTATGAAATCCACTGGGAAGATTTTCAGACAGACAAACCTCATCAGGATCTTGCTCTAACCATTTTCATTTAGACTTGCCGTATCCGTTTGGCTGGCTGGCGGGCTACCTGGCCATGTTTGTGGGAGCAGGGATGACATTCGTAGTCCAGAGCAGCTCTGTGTTCACCTCTGCACTGACACCACTTATAGGTGAGTGACTTCTGGCTAGGGGAACATCTACCTAGCCCATTCTGACTTCTGGCTAGGGGAACATCTACCTACTCCATTCTGACTTCTGGCTAGGGGAACATCTACAGTTGAAGTCGATAGTTTACATACACCTTAGCCAAATACATTGAAACTCTGTTTTTCACAATTCCTAACATTTAATCCTAGTAAAAATTCCCTGTTTTAGGTCAGTTAGGAACACCACTTTATTTTAAGAATGTGAAAGGTCAGAATAATAGTAGAGAGAATGATTTATTTCAGCTTTTATTTCTTTCATCACATTCCCAGTGGATCAGAAGTTTACATACACTCAATTCGTAGTTCGTTGCTGTTATGTGAATTATTTAACAAACTATTTCAGTTTCTCTGTGCGTCTCCCAAAAGGTTGTAAGTCTTTTGGGATTTAAGTAATGGCCAGAGTCCCAGTCTGCATAGTCAGAGATATTTATTCATTGAGAATTCTGCCATCACAATTTCAGAGTCCATCTTTTATACTCATACGTCATACAAAAAGAAATCCCTTCCCTCTGTAGGCGGGCTGTAGTTTTCCACTCTAAAACTGCTCTACTGACCTTCAGTTCACACACATATACACACATGCATACACACATACATACACACACACACACACATATCCTACTCCCTGCTTTACTCAGTTATTGCCGTTCTCACAATATTCTGCACCATGTTTTCATAACAGTTTCTCCCCTCCCTAAATTGGGAGGCCTCTTTATCTTAGTTTCTCAGTTGTCTTTGTTGTCTGGCCTAACTCTTACTCACATTGCTAAATAGTGGCTCAATGCCATAGCCTTTACTGGTCCTACACTCACACATTTCTAACACATTATACACAGTTTCAGGGTGTAATAATTAGTCATTAATAATTAATCTATCAGTTGCATTGCCTTTAAATTGAATATTGGAATGTATTTGCAAATACATTTGGAAAGTATTGGCATGTATTTACAACTACTTCTAATGTAAGTAGTTGGCTGTGTATTTGAAAATACTAAAATACACAGAAAATAAGGATATCAAATACTTAAATAATAATGTATTTAAACTCATTAATATATTAAACTTTTGAAATTACCAATGAGTGGCTCAAATTCTACAAGATTGTGGCTTTGGGATGAGTGGTGACTACTGGTGGATACTGGCTGGGTGTTTTGTGAGGCAAAGGCATAGAGGAATGGATCCACACAGCTGTCGATGAAGGTCAGTGCTCCAACAAAGTTGAAACTGGCTTCACAAAACTCTAGTAGAGCCTTATCGTTGACCAAGATGGCCGCCACTCCCAGCAGGATAATGACGTGGAGAGGAGTCCATAGGACAAAGAAAGTCACAACAGTGCTGCTAACTAGCTTGGTCATCCTGGGGTTTTCATTAAGGTGTTCTTAATGTTTGATATAATAATATAATAATAATATGATATGCCATTTAGCAGACGCTTTTATCCAAAGCGACTTACAGTCATGCGTGCATACATTTTTGTGTATGGGTGGTCCCGGGGATCGAACCCACTACCTTGGCGTTACAAGCGCCGTGCTCTACCAGCTTGTACATATATATATATATGTATACTCATATACTCAGCGTACATGAGTACATGATGATCGATGCTTGACTGCTGTTTGACAAATAATATTATCCCTCTTATCCATAATAATCTCATCATGTAGACTAGCCTACCCGCACTGTATCATGTAGACTAGCCTACCCGCACTGTATCATGTAGACTAGCCTACCCACACTGTATCTGTGGACTAGCCTACCCACACTATATCATGTAGACTAGCCTACCCGCACTGTATCATGTAGACTAGCCTACCCACACTGTATCATGTAGACTAGCCTACCCGCACTGTATCATATAGACTAGCCTACCCGCACTGTATCATGTAGACTAGCCTACCCGCACAGTATCATGTAGACTAGCCTACCCGCACTGTATCATGTAGACTAGCCTACCCGCACAGTATCATGTAGACTAGCCTACCCACACTGTATAATGTAGACTAGCCTACCCGCACTGTATCATGTAGACTAGCCTACCCACACTGTAAAATGTAGACTAGCCTACCCGCACTGTATCATGTAGACTAGCCTACCCGCACTGTATCATGTAGACTAGCCTACCCACACTGTATCATGTAGACTAGCCTGTATCTGTATCTGTATCTGTTGACACTAGAGTGCACGTTCCAAGACCAGAGTAGGCAACAGTTTTTGTGACAAAACTATTAATAGTGGAAAATGCGATGGAAACACATTGAACTTCAAATTTGTTTATTAGTACATGTAAACTTAAATGAAAAATTGCTTTTTATGTGCACTACGTCATTATTCACAAGTCCGTTTGGTGGAAACACACCATTGTTTGGAAAATTCACATATTTTCTCAGGATTTTAGAATATTCGCATTAAAATCTGTTGCCAATTGGTTGGAAACCTAGCTATTGAGACTAACTGACTGGTCGACTGGTTCTACGTAACAGGCTTTCAGTATGCAGTACAGTTTCCATCTGTCACGGGATGTCACAGTACTCTGAAGACCTGTTTTTCTGTCCAGTGAATTTGCTATCCAAATATAGTCTTAGTGAGTTGGTAGTTACGGAAAGGCCCTGGTTAGATGTTGTGTGTCAGTGAGACTTTGCATGGGCCCTTTGAATATACTGAACTGTTTATGTGAAACCACAGATGACGATGTGTTTATCTTAAATTATCTGGAGAATCTTGTATAACCAAGCAGCCTATGAATTTGTTCCAGTTCAATACTCAAATACACAGAAAATAAGTATATCACATACAGATACTTAAATAAAACACAAAAAACACACAAAAAAAAAATGTATGCACGCATGACTGTAAGTCGCTTTGGATAAAAGCGTCTGCTAAATGGCATATTATTATTATTATTATTATAATCATGAAGTCATAAAGTAAAACAACATATTACACTGTTGAAATGACCAATGATTGGCTGGCAATCTTACAAGATCGTGGCATTGGGATCAATGATGACTACTGAGTCACCCTGGAGTTGGCACACTGTTCTCTGGCTGTCTGGTGTTTCTAGAGGCAAAGGCGTAGAGGAATGGATCCAAGCAGCTGTTGATGTAGGTCAGAGATCCAACAATTTCCCAATTGGCTTTCCAGAACCCTCTCAGAGCCTTATTCTTAGCCAAGATGGCCACCACTCCCAGCACATTCATTATATGGTGAGGAGTCCATAGAACTTTGAAGGTCCCAACGATGAGGCTCACTAATCTGGTCATCCTGGGGCTCCTAAAGAAAGCTGTTTGATTCACCATTCTGTGGAGGCAGGTATAAGCAGTGGCCATCATGGAGAAGGGAACTACAAATCCCAGGACAGTCTCTAGAAGCAGCACTGCCACGTTCTGATCATCTGATGCGAAAACATACTCACACTGAACCTGTCCACTTTCATCTTGCTTCAACTTGCGCAACACCACTGATTTAGGGATAGCCAGGACCCCGGCTATCCCCCACACGACAACCAGCAGCCCCCTCTCCTTTGCCACTCCCAGTCTGCCCCAAGTCTGTGGAAAGAGGACCTGCAGGTAATGCTGGATGCTCAGTAGAGTAACAGACAGCAGGCTGGTGTAGGCGCTACAGTAGGCCAGGTAGATAAAGACATAACAAGCCACCAGGCCTAGCACCCAGTTGAAGAAAATGCTGTAGATCCACATAGGTAGGGTGATGAGGCAAGACAAGTCAGATACAGCCAAGTTCAACATCAGTCTCCGGCTCAAACTGGATAGATTTTGGTTTAGATGAAGTTTGAACATCACTGCGATGTTCCCTGGAACTCCGATTAGGAAGCAGAGAGACAAGACCACGCTAGAGGCTAGATTTACACGGTTCCAGGAGAAGGCTGGAGGACTGAGGAAGAAGGCATTGGAGGTGGAGTAGTTTAAGGTGGACAAGTTAAGGTCCTCCATTTCTAGCAGTGAGACAAACGGACTGGTCTACTGGCACGAAGTCAGTTCGTGTTCAGACCTCTGCTCTACCAGAGGTGGGACTGAGTTAATGACATCAGATAGAGGAGGGACAGTTTTGGAATAGCTGGTTTTCTGTCATGTGAATATTTCCTATTCAAGTAGAGTCTCAGTGAAGTGGTGGTTTGGGAAAAGCCCTGGTTGGATATGAATTTGCATGGGCCATCTGAATATACTGAACTCATGAAACCACTGATTATCTTGTTTGTCAGTTCATCTTGAATTATCTAGAGTCAGAATCTTGGACAACCAATGGACAGTAAGGTGGGTTCCTATTCTAACATGAAACATGTTGGGTGGATGAGTGTTGTTATACATGTTCAGATGATGGGCTACACATTGGTGGTTTAAGCCAGTGGTTCTCAAACTGTACCAGTATCACCAACAAGTACCTTCTCATATGCAGTTTACCAGTAAGCCTATGGTCTCATGAGTCTTCTCAAGTACTCCGGGTTGAGAACCACTGGTGTTGTTGTCTTTACATCCTGCAGGTCTGGTGTCTGATTGGAGGTTAACTTTACAGTAATGCTATTGGTCAACAACTCAGATTTTGAATCCAAACAGTCAGATGTTATAAAGGGATCTCAGATTCATGGTCTCTTTCTCTTTGTTCCTGACCTGCGCTGGTGAGATACACTCTCTCTTTCTTTCTCTCTCCATCCCAGGGACTCTTGGTGCATGACCTTTCAGGCTATGCCTTCTCTCTCTCCCTCAATGATGATGCCTAGAATAATGCCTTGTAATGCTTGCTAATGCTTTGTAACTTAAGCTTATGCCTTGTATGTGATTTCATTCATTTTACAATGATACTAAATCTCTGACTTTGATATAGACAATTCTCATTCCTTCCTTGATAATCCATTCCTGTAGCTCTTTAAAGCTGCAATATGTAACTTTTTGGGCAACCGACCAAACTCACATATAAATGTGAGTTATAGATCTGTCATTCTCATTGAAAGCAAGTATAAGAAGCGGTAGATATAATATGTGCACTATTTCAATGCCTTCCATGCTTATATTTCATTTTTACTTTCGGTTTTGTTCACCAGCCTAAGAAAGCTGAAAATACAATATTTTGGGTTAATAAAAATATATTTCACAGCAGTTTAGATGGTACAGTGATTCTTTACACTATACTTGCTTGTTTTGTCACATAAACTGAAGGCTGCTTGGTTTAGTAACCAGGAAATGGCGGAGTGATTTCTGCATAGTGCACCTTTAAGAGTATTGGTTGCATATTCCTATTCATCCGTTATCTTTATGGAGTCAGATATACCTTTTAATAGACTGTCCATTAATTTCATAGACTTATTATGGGTCTCATGTAAGGAGTATATGAAATACACATACTGTATCAAATATTACCCCACGACAATGTAAGGGCTGAGTTAACCTCTCTAAAAATATTACCCCACTACAATATAAGGGCTGAGTTAACCTCTCTAAAAATATTACCCCACTACAATGTAAGGGGTGAGTTAACCTCTCTAAAAATATTACCCCACTACAATGTAAGGGGTGAGTTAACCTCTCTAAAAATATTACCCCACTACAATGTAAGGGGTGAGTTAACCTCTCTACAAATATTACCCCACTACAATGTAAGGGGTGAGTTAGCCCCTCTACAAAGTAATTAGCAAATCGCTATCATCATACAGCAGACACGCTCCTCTGTGTGTCACATGAATGGTGATGAACCCTTCTCCTGGTTTGCAGGTATTGGTGTAATCAGTCTGGAGAGGGCCTATCCACTGACTCTGGGCTCCAACATCGGCACCACAACCACAGCCCTGCTGGCAGCCCTGGCCAGCCCTGGCGACAAACTGGCTGCTGCCATTCAGGTACAGACAGTTTGGGAATCACTTATTTAGCAAAAGGCTTTATTCAGAGCGACTTACATTCAAATAAAGAAGCTGAGCAACAGCAAAAAGATTCCTTTCAAGTAAAGCCCTTTTTGAAGGAAATTGTTTCCCCCAATGTCCACCTAATACCGTCCATCTTGTCTTTCCTCTCAAATGTCCACCTAATACCGTCCATCTTGTCTCCAGATTGCTCTGTGTCACTTCTTCTTTAACATCATGGGCATCCTGCTGTGGTACCCCATCCCTGTGACTCGTGTCCCCATCCGCATGGCTCGTGCCCTGGGTGAACGCACCGCCAAGTACCGCTGGTTCGCTGTCCTCTACCTCCTAGTCTGCTTCCTGCTCCTCCCGTCCCTGGTCCTAGGCCTCTCATTGGCTGGCTGGAGAGTGATGTTGGGAGTGGGCGCACCATTTGTGGGTGTGACTGTTTTCATTGCCTTGGTGAACCTGATGCAGGTGGGTTAGAAATACTGTAATCAGCCATTCTTGGAGAACATTGGAAGTCGAATTGATGATGGAGGCTGTACGTTTCTATGAAGACATTTTCTACTCAACTTCCATTCTCTTCCAAGAGTGGTTGAATAGTTCAGATGTTTCAAATTTGATTGGTCTATGGTTGGTTGGTAACAACATTTCTCTGTGCTGCAGGCTCACAGCCCTGGCCACCTTCCCACCCGTCTCCAGAGCTGGGACTTCCTGCCTCGCTGGATGCGCTCCCTCAAGCCCCTTGACAGGGTCATCACCAAGGCAACTGGCTGCTGCAGCTCTGGCCATGCAACCGGAGACGACGCGGTAACGACCCCTGCTGACCCCAAGGTTGTAGCCGCCCAGAGGAAGGCTGAACTGGTGTATGATAACCCCGTTCTTGAATACCTGGATGAGACGAAGCCAGGCGTACCTGTGTTTAAATTGAAGGGTCTGGAGAGGTGCAACAGTACACCCCTCTAATGGAGATGGGTTTGGGTCTGACATGGAAAAGGGTTGGTTTAATATTTTCTATATAATCTCAGGAGTGCACTGCTCTGGGCCTCAAGGGCCACAGAGTGTTCTGGTCCTTGCCTTATAACCTACAATTGATTTCTGCCAGCTGTGTAGTCTCTCAATAGCCAATCAATGACATATATTGATCAATTAAATGCCTGGGAGATGTACTGTACAGTACAAAGCCCAGAAGGAGAACTTATAGTCTTTGAGGATTGGAGTTGTTCAACCTCTTCTGTGGATATGTGTTATTATCATAGCGAACCAGTCTGGATCCAGTAGTCTAGGTTGAAGATGACAGAGGTTAAGACAACAGATTCTAATATCCCATAACTCTTTGCAAAAATGGGACCAGCTATGCTAGTTAGCAACAGTGCTGGTCCAATGAATTTGTTTATTTTCTAACGCTGCCGCATGGAATTATTCCATTGTCCTAACCAGTATATTTTCGACCTAGCCAGTATCTAGTTCCCTAAGTGGGGATGGGATGAATAAACACACAAAGACATCACAACGGAGTCAAAGAGGGCTCACTTCACAAATAATCTAAACCAGATGGGCGTATATGAAATGAATGTGTACTGTATGTCACTGTGTGGGTTAGAATGTTCATCGTAGGTATGTTTTTATAAGTCTGTGTAAAACTGTCTGTTTGTGGGTTTGCTTATGTGTTAGTCATACAACCGTGTACCTACTGTAGATTCACAGAAGTCATTTGATTATGCAGAAGATGGTCATGCTTTAAGCCCCTTGATGATGCTGTTCTCTGTAGTGAAGAAATACTTTACTAGCAATTTGGGAACAGAATGAAATGTTCAGATAAACAGTGTCTCTCTTTGCTCCATGAACAAAACAGAGTACAGAGTGTGTAACGATGTGAACCACTGAAGGGAAAGTGTTTGTCAGACAAGAGTGGAAAAAATATTTAGAAGAAATAAAAAAATACTAAAAAGGTGCATGCTACTGTATTATACAGCTCTCTGTATAGGCCATTGATTGTTTCCTTGACAAATGTCTATCTAATGACACATTTATATAAAACAATGATATCTTGTCAAACAATATGTGTACATACATTTGATTGATATATTGGTGGTCGGTCCTTTCAAATAAAAAAAGCAATCATAAGCAACAAGAAACAAGAGAAAAACACAGTCTTTGTCTTGCCATGTCTGAAATCCTAACTAAGTCAGTACCACAGCTTATAGTTACAAACCTGTGTTGTATTTATTGGGCAAAATAGTATAACAGTTTCTATCAGGTAGCCTTCTACTACCTAAACTTCCCAATAAGAACACATAAGATAATTTTCCATTTATAGCATTTTCTTTATTTATGGCTGCTGAACATGACCCTAGACTCCTCCATAAGGTGACCCTCCCCTCAGGATCCCTCCACCCCGTCACCCCTTCAATCAGTAGCCCTCCACGCCGGCAGTCATTTACTTTCTACCCTGTCAGTCCCCATACCCTCCACCCTCCACCCTGTCAGTCCCCTACCCTCCACCCTGTCAGTCCCCTACCCTCCACCCTGTCAGTCCCCTACCCTCCACCCTGTCAGTCCCCTACCCTCCACCCTGTCAGTCCCCTACCCTCCACCCTGTCAGTCCCCTACTCTCCACCCTGTCAGTCCCCTACCCTTCACCCTGTCAATCCCTTTCTGGGCCCTTTGGTTCCCCCCTCGCACAGACTATCACACAAGTTAGGCAGAGGTTGTAAACCAGCTTTGGCCTGGACACGAGTGACAACTAAGTGTGACACATGAACATCAGACTGGCAAACTGACTGCTCATATAGCTGCAGACCCCCCACATTTACCAACAGATCAGAGAGTACAGGCACATCCCTCCCAAAATTCATCTCAAAAGGTAGCTTCTCCATTACCCAAACTTTGAGGTATGTGGTGTCCGAGACAACGATGCGGATTATGCTGTGATGATAAGAATTCCGCTGACGCTGTACTTTGATTATAAAGGTTTATTGTATCAAAGATCACAGTATCAATTTACAGACATCTGCAGATATCTGGAGAATAACCGGACCCAATCCCTAATATGTTATTTCTCCCCGTCCTTTGTTCAAAACATGGTATTTATCCTATGTAACATAAGATGGGTGTTTTTTTGACAGACCAATCCCTGGCCTCCACATATCTCCAAATGTCCTCTATTCCAAGAAGCCTATGTAGTAATGCTTTCCAGATGTTTCAGCAAAGCAGAGTAAAGTTCATCTATTACACCATTTGCAAATGTCAGCAAAATCATAGACCTTCAGACACTACATATTTCCCCCCTTCGAGACTAATTAAGTCTCGAAAACAAAAATAATAGGATTATGACAAATAACATTTTTTGTTCTTGAGTAACTTCAGCAATAAACCAACATTTATGGAGAGTAAACACATGTTTATATAGACACATTTTTGTATGGAGTGTAAATAAATTGTTATGGAGTGTAAATAAATTGTTATGGAGTGTAAGAGCGAAAAACCTGTCTGGCAGCTTTCATTCCAAATATCTATCAATCAATCAAGACAGGAAAATTCTCTCACGGCCCCTCTGCCCCAGGCGACCACCTAAGTACTCCAGATCAATTTATAAATCTTTATCAATGCATTTTAAGCTATGATGCAATTGAATACACATGAAAACCTCAGCAAACAAAATACAATCAAAAATGTCCACATTCAGGCTGGTCGACCCATCGGTCCCTCCTGTGGATTCTCTCTGTCCCTGCCTAGACCCAATATCCCTAAGCTTCAACGAAATAAACAAAAACATCTGAGGTCCCTACATGTACCCAACAACAGAAAACATAATTCTTCAAAAATGAATACAGAAAGAATATAACACTGGAATGTAGTCCACTACACTGCAGCTCCTCCACAGTGTCGACTTCCAATGAAACGTCGATGATGGAATCTGAACATTTCCACACCTTCCTTGTTCCACTTCCTCCAGTCCATTCATATTGTCCATGTTTGAGTATTTGAATCCCCTCTACACATTCCCCCATATGCTTCTGGAAGAAAAGAAAATACCAAACAGTATCTTTTGCAAAACAACACATTCAAATTAAAACATCAATATCAACAAAAAACGATATATAAAATGATATATAAAATGAATCACATTCCATTTCCCCCCTTCGATTCATAAGAAAATACTAAATATCACAATAATATGTAAAGACCTGAAAAATTATCACACAATCAGATATTAAAAATTTCCTAGAGTTACTTCAACCCTAGTTTTCATAATATTTTAGTCTGACTTTTTTTCCCAATTATTTTTTTCAAAAACCATTTCACTGATTTATCCACAAAACTCTTTCCCATTTTCTGAGGATATTAAATCGGGAAATTCCCACCTGCTTATGACTTCTTTACACAAGAAGTTGGCAAACGACTGAGCATCTTTTAGCTTAGTTGGACATCTTATGCACCTCTTGGTGTAGGAATGTAACCAAGAATAACAGTCACACCCCTGCAAACATTATTTTTCAGACAGATTGTGCACCTGCCTATGACGTAGTCAACCTGTTAAAGCAAATATGGTTCCCAAAAACCATACTTTGTGACCTTTCTCCTAACCTCCCCCCTTGCAACATGAGCTAACCCATGTGCTTCCTGAATCATCAGACCTAATAGGTCTAGAGGCGCTACTATCAACCCCTCCTGGTTTCTCCAAAGACCAGTAGCATCTTTGACAGCACCTCTGTCTAGCCATAATTGTTTGTCGATCGTAGAAGCAGCTTCCTGCATCAAAATCACATCCTTAAGCGTAATTTTGTCTTCCAAGTCCACTCCATGAGTGACCAGAAAAACTTTGCCCAATTTGTCTGCTCCTGTGACGGCTTTTGCAGCTTCATCAGCAGCTTTGTTCCCTTGTGTGACTTTTGACACATCTGTTTTATGAGCTGCACACTTAGCTATTAGGCTTCATCATAGCATGCAACAGTTTCATTATTTGCGCATGATGTTGTATCGGAGAACCATCCGTTTTCTTAAACCCTCGACCTTTCCACACTGCTCCAAACAGATGACATACACTATGTGCATATGCTGAATTAGTGTATATCGTCACTCGCTTTCCTTCTGCTAACAAACATGCTTCTGTTAGCCCCACAAGTTCAGCAAGTTGTGCAGACGCAGGCTGTGGTATTACTTCAGCCTTTTCAACAACAAATCCAGTTCCTTGGGCTTTAACTACTGCATAGCCAGCACACAATTGATCTCCCACACGATAACAAGACCCATCAGTCCAATACTCCAGGTCTGCCTCACGTAATGGAAAGGCTTGCAAATCTGATCTAAGCCTCGAGTATTTCTCTGCTTCTTGGACACAATCATGTGGCTCACCATCCTCTGAAGTTGGCAAATTCTCGGCTGGATTCACCGTATCACACCTCACTAGGGTGACATCTTCCTTCTCTAAGAGCCCATGATAGTCTCTGAGCCTAGGCATAGTCAATGTATATTCTCCAAAGTTCAGAAGATTTCTGAGACTATGATGGGTAAGAATTGTTACTGGGTAACCCATCGCAACAGATGATGCTTTGTCATACATTGAATATACTCCCACCATTGCTCTGTAGCACAGTGGTAGCCCTAGTTCTACTTCTGAATAGGCAGTAGAGTAGTATGAAATAGGCTGAGGATTCGTCCCTGTGCCTGTCAGCTGACAAAGAACTGCACACATGCATATTTACCTCCAGTAGAAGTAGACACATATAGCAAAAAATTCTTAGAGTAGTCTGGTAGTGTGAGTGCAGGTGCCTCCTGCAACCTCTGTTTGATCGTTTCAAATGCCACAAGGCCTTCCTGTGTCCAGGAAAGATTGCTATGGAGTTGACCACTTCCAGTATCCTTAACCATAGCTCTCAAAGGTCCCATCAAACTAGCATAGCTCTCAACCCAAGCTGAAGAATAACCAGCAATACCAAGAAATGTCATCATCTCTCTGACAGTTCTAGGCTTCGGAGCCTTACGAATAGCTTCCAATTGACTATCCGAAATGCTTCTCTGTCCATGCGTTATTTTCTGACCCAAATAAACAACCTTCTCCTGGCAATATTGCAACTTTTTCTGTGAAACCTTATGCCCCTTTTCTGCCAATACCTGTAGCAATTTAATGACAGTGCTTTGCAATATCTGATCTATCCCTATCAAATCATCCTTCAGTACTTTATTGAAAATGTGGGGGCTATGCCTGTACCCCGGATCTTCTGGGCACCTCTAGAATCCTTGCTCCGGGCCCCTATAAGGGTTCACCGGTCCTCCAGATGATCTTGACTGGCCCCTGTATCTTCCTCTGAAATTCCCTCTGGTGTTTCCTCCTGTCCCATTACACTCACGGGCAAAGTGACCAACCTGTCCACAATTATAACACACTTCTGAAGATTGCTGGAAGTATGGCTTAAATTTTCCTCCTCTTCCTCTTCCTAAGCCTTCTCGTCCTCTTCCTCTCCAATTCTGTCTCTGTCCAGAAACTGGCTGTGGATACGAAACAACTGGTACCGCTATTGGTGGCTGGTACAATTGCGGTTGGAACTGGTTCGGTTGAAGCTGTGGCAGTGATTGTTGATTTGGTGCACACTGATTCTGCATAACCAAAGCTTGTTTCTTCTCCTTCTTATTCTCCACCAGTTGTATTTGATTGAGTTTTCTGAGAGTTTCTTGGTCCTGTTCTTTCTGGTTGTGTTCCTTTTTCCGGTACAGATCCACTTGATGGGCTATATCATCTGTATAGACACCTTTTGTCATGCTTCCAAGTCCAACCACCTCTGCCAGTTTGCTCCTTACTGGTGAGGGCAGTCCCATCTGTAGATTAGCTCTCAAAATTGACTGCTCAATTTGACTCATATCTGGATCATTTCCGGTAATATTTCTCCACATTTGATGAACTCTTGACACATAGGCTCTCGGATTTTCTTGTTGTCCTAGTGGGTCAATCAGAATGTTGTCAGGATGCACATTTGTTGGAAACATATCTTTCAGTGCTCCCCACAGCCGATTTCTACTTGCAGCTAACAATTCAGGATCATTCACCGCAGTCCCCACATATCGATGAAGTCCAGCTCTCTGAAAAATGTCTTCCATACCTAGAATCCCAAGGAGATTAGCCAAAAGTCTCTTAATGTCTCCTATGGCAGACTGTGTTCCCACCGTAATTTCTTCCAATTTTGAAATCCAAGGATATGCTCCATCTTGAAGAGTAGGCAGCTTCTCAAGTATATCTGACATATCGGTATTTTGCAAAGGCTTATTTATACTCCAGGTTTTGTCCTCGAATTATCACTGGCATCATCTTCTTACTTGTGCTCCCTTGTCTTGGCCTCAATGTATACTTCTTCTCCAATTCTTGGGATCCTTTTTTCAGCAGTTTTTTCTTCTGTATCTTCAGCTTCTTGAGTTGTTCTTCCAGTTCTCTTACTTCTTCTAAATTATTGGCCTTATCCAGGCATGATATGCATCGATCTATATATTTTTCTATTTCTTCTGTGCTAGTCATTGTAGGATAAAATCCTCTTGAATATGAAGCACCTTTAATCTCCAAATCTTCATCGCTGTCTCCATTTTCACTTTCATCAGAACTCGAATCTCTTGTATTCTTCTTCTTCCAACTTCCATCACCCCTTTTTTCCGCTCCTGCCAACCTCTGTCTGATCACAGGGTCATATCCACCCATGATCTCTTCTGAATCACTCTGATCATCATCATCATCATCTTCAAGGTCCATCCTCCTGAACCTCACTCCACCCTTAGTTTCCAGACATCTTGTTTTCTTCTTACTTTTGGAGTTTGGATTCATCTTTATGGTCGTTTCTGCTTGTCCTCTCTCTATTATTCGTTCATCTTCATCTCTGATGCAATAATCACCCTCCTGAATGGTCACTGGAAGCTGAGGATAGACATCCTTAAACTCTACTTCTTCCTCATTAGGTGGGGGTATTTTTGCTGAATCCATATGTGAGAAAGGTGTATTGACTTCTGCCATTAGTTTTTCTGTTACCTTCACCTCTTTTGCCATTTTCTCTATACCTCTGTCTCTTTTATCTTTTCTATCTTTTATCAGTTTTTGTCCTTCATTTTCAAACAGCTTAAGAACACCCAGCTCTCTTTGTCTCTTTTCTTTACGTTGTTCCTCTTTTTTCCCCTTCTTTTGATCTGCCTTATACGTGGATACAAGAACTTGCATTATCTTGATGACGTCTGGGTTAAGAGTCCCTTCCACTGGCCATGGTTGTTCAATGTCAGGCCAACGTTTATTCCATTTTCCAGATAACCTTGCAATACCATTAACTAGAGGATTACTACTTTGTACTACATCAACAGGAGTAATTACTTTTGTTGATGTAGTACAAAGTAGATATCTGCAGATATCTGGAGAATAACCGGACCCAATCCCTAATATGTTATTTCTCCCCGTCATTTGTTCAAAACATGGTATTTATCCTATGTAACATAAGATGGGTGGTTTTTTTGACAGACCAATCCCTGGCCTCCACATATCTCCAAATGTCCTCTATTCCAAGAAGCCTATGTAGTAATGCTTCCCAGATGTTTCAGCAAAGCAGAGTAAAGTTCATCTATTACACCATTTGCAAATGTCAGCAAAATCATAGACCTTCAGACACTACAGGTACTTCTGACCTTGAATCTCAACTGTGAGCTCAGCTGTGGGCTGCTGCGACTGGTCACTGTGGACACACTGGATCAGTGTCTGGTGACCGTAATCAATGCCATTGCCAGGTACATTACCTTTTCTGATCAAAGACAGGGAACTGCCGGTGTCAACCATTGCAGTAAGACTTTTACCATTCACTTTTACAGGTACAAAGACTGAATCTTCCCCACTTTGTCTGTCCTGAACACCACCCCCCTCTCTGGGCACATAACAGTAACCTGAGAGCTTGGATTTACGTAGTGGACAGATTGAAGCTTTGTGCCCTTGCTGCTGACAGTAAGAACAGGTCAGGCCCCTCCAATCAGAGATAACTACATTATACCTTACCTCCCTCCTCCCAGACACAAACCCCCTAGAGTTACCTCCACCATCTCTGGAGACTCTGATGTCCCTTGTGTCTCTGAAACTCCTTGGAGCGGGTGCTGCAGGTCGTGGTGGGCCCCTTTACGTGCATTAAGGTACTGCAGTGCCAACTTGGCCACCATAAGCCCATCCTTGGGCTCGTGCTCTCGGACCCAGGTCCGAGTGTCGTGTGGGAGAACTTGTAGAAGTTGCTCGAGGATGACGACCTCACCGATCTCGTCCTGCATCTTCTCCTCTGGTCGAACCTATTGTCGGTAGAGGCCTTTGAGGTGGTGGTACGTCTCCGTCGGCGACTCACCCGATGGCATCTATGCAGCTCTGACGCGTTGGCGGTAGGTTTCCGGGGAGATGTTGAACTTCACCAGCAGCGCTTCCTTCAGGTCCTTGTAGACGTTGGACAAACCCTCATCCATCGCTGTGTAAGCCTCTGAGGCCTTGCCCGTGAGCAATGGGACAAGCCTGCAGGCCCACTCTACCTCTGGCCAATGCTACATCTTGGCCATTTGCTCAAACCTCAGCAGGTAGTTTTAAATTCCCTCTCCCTGCTGGTATGAAGGCATCTTCGGCTCCTCAGGAATGCTGGAGGGTGGACGTTAGCGCGGCTGGACTGGTCTCCTGGTGCTGGGGCTGGCCTCATCACTGCTTGGGAACCCTACTGTGGAGTTGAAGTCCCTGCTGCGTCGATCCTCCGTCGTCCTGGTGTTGGCAGACCCGATCTTGGGCTCTCACTGACGAGTTCTGTTTGGTGAGGAGCCATGAGGATAGATTGCCATAGGCCCCGGAACTCCTGCTTGAGGTCTTCGTCCCTCCTCTCAAGGCAGGTGAGAAGCTGCCGGAGAATGGCTACCATGGTTGGGTGTGGTTCTGGTCCCCCAACTGTTCCTTCAGTCGGCTGCTCCCGCTGCTCTTCTATGGCTGTATCTGGTGGTTCTATCGGCAGCTCAAGTGGTTCTGTTTGGCTCCTTGGTCAGGCTAGTAGTTTCTCATAATTGACCTCCTCTTCACCGGACGATTCTATGATATTCCACCCCGTTTCAATTTTAGGTTCCGTTTCTGAAAGTTGCTGCTGCTGCTGAGAACGCAATCCTGTATGCGTTCCTTTACATCTCTTTTTGGAATTCACTGATTTGCGATGCACCATCCCACCGCTGCCACCATATGTCGCGTAGAGTAGCCTATATTAAATTAAGCTCTACCAAATAAAACGATGGCGGAGCTGCAAAAGCACTTCTGTGCAAGTGTGTTTATTTACATAGTGATTCTGAAAGAATAACAGTACTGCCACAAAAGTATACATTATGGGGACAGCTAAACAGTGTTGCCCCATCAACAATTCAATGAAAAAGGTATCCCCTTGAACTGAAAGAGAGGCTCCTTTTGTAGGGAGTGTGGTCCTCTGTAGCTCAGCTGGTAGAGCACGGCGCTTGTAACGCCAAGGTAGTGGGTTCGATCCCCGGGACCACCCATACACAAAAAAAAAAAAAAATGTATGCACGCACGACTGTAAGTCGCTTTGGATAAAAGCGTCTGCTAAATGGCATATTATTATTATTATTATTATTATTATTATATTATTATTAGGGGAAGCTCCTCCCATCAGAACATACCAAACTCATTAATTAATTAAGCATTTACAAACATCAAAGCATACATTTTCCACTCAGCTAAATATATCATGAATTACCTTCATTAAACCATTGCAATTGGTTTATCATAATACAATACAGCACAATATAACACATTTACATTACCTCATCGCTACTGTCATGGTGTCATCCAATACGCCATTCACATGAACACGCAATTTGGGACAGGCACTACAAAGCCAGACAGGTTGCCATAGCCCGGGTCCTTATTCCAGCATACCCGCAAGCTACAGAGACGGAGCAAGAGGAACAGAAACAAACAGAGCACTCATCCAAAACATGGATAAGGACAAGAAACGTCACCTAAATTAAATATGAAATCTTGTTTGTGTATTTCTTATACCATACCAAACTGTTACTGAAGGGAGGTAAGAATAATGTGTGTAATGTATGAACTGAGATCGCTAAGTTAACTTGTGTCGATCCACATTGCTAACGTAACTGAAAACGGAACAGAGGGGGAGATGAGTGTGTGTGTGTTAGCTTGCCAAATGCTGCTCGCGCCAGTGACGGACTTCTCAGTCACAGTCAGCCTGTAGGGGCCACAGACCTTCACCAACGTCTGTGTTACGAACCCCGTGGATTTAAAAGTCTAGGGTGGATAGAACAGAGACCCGTAACATAATTCATGCAAATTAGTATCATGACAGTGAGAACAAACAATACACGACAACCATAAGCTACCGTCAAACATAAAATGTTTATTTTGAACACACGGTAAAGGTTTAGGAAAAAGGGCTGAGCAGGACCCAAGAAATGAAACAATAATGTAAAAAAAAACTAAACTGATCTTGCCTGCCTCAAGAACCGCTAAGCTACTGCTAACCATACAAAAATTACAGTGGGTGGTCCGCTCAGGTCTAACTAGAGTTTTTAGACAATTTTCTTCCTATGGGTAATGTATGCCCAAGGGCAACTTGCTTAAATCCCCCTTTTGCCAGAAACACACAACAAAGTTACCAAACAGAGTGACCAGCAAATGAGTGAGTACACAGGACACCACAGTATCCATAGTCACATACGGAAATAGTCTCTTCCCAACAAACACAACTGACTGGCTTTTAAAACAATGGGAGGTGTGATTGAAAAACCAGAAACAGGTGGTGCAATACAGAGGAATGTCCACTAATTGGTCCACATCAGCAATCAGCAGCCAAACGGATGTCGGACAGGTGGGACACCCCAACGACCACCAATCAGGAACAAAAAGGACACCTGTGATTAGGGCAGAAGGAGAGGAAAAACACAAAAACACACACAGGATACCTGTATCCGTAACAGTCTGACACATACAGATGTACAGTGGGGAAAAAAAGTATTTAGTCAGCCACCAATTGTGCAAGTTCTCCCACTTAAAAAGATGAGAGAGGCCTGTAGTTTTCATCATAGGTACACGTCAACTATGACAGACAAATTGAGAAAAAAAAATCCAGAAAATCACATTGTAGGATTTTTAATGAATTTATTTGCAAATTATGGTGGAAAATAAGTATTTGGTCAATAACAAAAGTTTCTCAATACTTTGTTATATACCCTTTGTTGGCAATGACACAGGTCAAACGTTTTCTGTAAGTCTTCACAAGGTTTTCACACACTGTTGCTGGTATTTTGGCCCATTCCTCCATGTAGATCTCCTCTAGAGCAGTGATGTTTTGGGGCTGTCGCTGGGCAACACGGACTTTCAACTCCCTCCAAAGATTTTCTATGGGGTTGAGATCTGGAGACTGGCTAGGCCACTCCAGGACCTTGAAATGCTTCTTACAAAGCCACTCCTTCGTTGCCCGGGCGGTGTGTTTGGGATCATTGTCATGCTGAAAGACCCAGCCACGTTTCATCTTCAATGCCCTTGCTGATGGAAGGAGGTTTTCACTCAAAATCTCACGATACATGGCCCCATTCATTCTTTCCTTTACACGGATCAGTCGTCCTGGTCCCTTTGCAGAAAAACAGCCCCAAAGCATGATGTTTCCACCCCCATGCTTCACAGTAGGTATGGTGTTCTTTGGATGCAACTCAGCATTCTTTGTCCTCCAAACACGACGAGTTGAGTTTTTACCAAAAAGTAATATTTTGGTTTCATCTGACCAAATGACATTCTCCCAATCCTCTTCTGGATCATCCAAATGCACTCTAGCAAACTTCAGACGGGCCTGGACATGTACTGGCTTAAGCAGGGGGACACGTCTTCACTGCAGGATTTGAGTCCCTGGCGGCGTAGTGTGTTACTGATGGTAGGCTTTGTTACTTTGGTCCCAGCTCTCTGCAGGTCATTCACTAGGTCCCCCCGTGTGGTTCTGGGATTTTTGCTCACCGTTCTTGTGATCATTTTGACCCCACGGGGTGAGATCTTGCGTGGAGCCCCAGATCGAGGGAGATTATCAGTGGTCTTGTATGTCTTCTATTTCCTAATAATTGCTCCCACAGTTGATTTCTTCAAACCAAGCTGCTTACCTATTGCAGATTCAGTCTTCCCAGCCTGGTGCAGGTCTACAATTTTGTTTCTGGTGTCCTTTGACAGCTCTTTGGTCTTGGCCATAGTGGAGTTTGGAGTGTGACTGTTTGAGGTTGTGGACAGGTGTCTTTTATACTGATAACAAGTTCAAACAGGTGCCATTAATACAGGTAATGAGTGGAGGACAGAGGAGCCTCTTAGAGAAGAAGTTACAGGTCTGTGAGAGACAGAAATCTTGCTTGTTTGTAGGTGACCAAATACTTATTTTCCACCATAATTTGCAAATAAATTCATAAAAAATCCTACAATGTGATTTTCTGGATTTCTTTTCCTCAATTTGTCTGTCATAGTTGACGTGTACCTATGATGAAAATTACAGGCCTCTCTCATTTTTTTAAGTGGGAGAACTTGCACAATTGGTGGCTGACTAAATACTTTTTCTCCCCACTGTATACAGGAGGACTATACACATACACACACACACAGCTATGTTGACAGGCTCTTTACGTACGTTGTGAGTGGGAGGACACAAGAAGATTTTAGTACTATACAGAGGAGGTTTATTGTATAGGTGGTACATAAAGTATGAGGTTTATTGTAGAGGTGGACCATACAGTATAATAGGTTTATTGTAGATGTGATCCGTACAGTAAAACAGGTTTATTATAGAGGTGGTCCATACAGTTTAGAGGTTTATTGTAGAGGTGGTCCATACAGTATAAGAGGTTTATTGTACAGGTGGTCCATACAGTTTAGAGGTTTATTGTAGAGGTGGTCCATACAGTATAAGAGGTTTTTTGTAGAGGTGGTCCATACAGTTTAGAGGTTTATTGTAGAGGTGGTCCATACAGTATAAGAGGTTTATTGTAGAGATGGACCATACAGTATAAGAGGTTTATTGTAGAGGTGGTCCATACAGTATAAGAGGTTTACTGTAGAGGTGGACCATACAGTATAATAGGTTTATTGTAGAGGTGGTCCATACAGTATCACAGGTTTATTATATATGTGGACCATACAGTATAAGAGGTTTATTGTATAGGTGGTCCATATAGTATAAAAGGTTTATTGTACAGATGGTCCCTACAGTATAAGAGGTTTATTGTAGAGGTGGTCCATATAGTATAAAAGGTTTATTGTACAGATGGTCCATACAGTATAAGAGGTTTATTGTATAGGTGCTCTATACAGTTTAGAGGTTTATTGTATAGTTGGACCATACAGTATAAGAGGTTTATTGTAGAGGTGACAAGTACAGTAAAACAGATTTATTATAGAGGTGGTCCATACAGTTTAGAGGTTTATTGTAGAGGTGGTCCATACAGTATAAGATGTTTATTGTAGAGGTGGTCCATACAGTATAAAATGTTTATTGTACAGATGGTCCATACAGTATAAGAGGTTTATTGTATAGGTGGTCCATACAGTATAAGATATTTATTGTAAAGGTGGACCATACAGTATATGAGGTTTAAGGTGTAGGTGGTCCATACAGTATAATAGGTTAATTGTAGGGGTGGTTAATACAGTATAAGAGGTGTATTGTACAGGTGGTCCATACAGTATAATAGGTTAATTGTAGGGGTGGTCAATACAGTATAAGATGTTTATTGTAGAGGTGGTCCATACAGTATAATAGGTTAATTGTAGGGGTGGTCAATACAGTATAAGAGGTTTATTGTAGAGGTGATCCATACATTAAATCAGGTTTATTGTAGAGGTGGTCCATACATTATATCAGGTTTATTGTAGAGGTGGTCCTAATAGTATAACAGGTTTATTGTATAGGTGGACCATACAGTATAGGAGGTTTATTGTAGAGGT